CGATTCCCCAGACGGACCCGCTCCACAGTTTCGAAAACCCAAGGCGTCTTCCATCCAAGTGCTCTCGTTCTTCGCCTCGACTTTTCTCTTCCACCCATCGTGTCTTTCAAACCCACATTCTTACACGTTGTTTGCGACATCACCACCACATCTACTACCGCCCGCACAATCCCCTCGCTGTAACACATACTCCATAATTTCTCCAGATCTGCCTACCCATTCTTTGCCACGCAACGATGGGTGACGAAATTGCGCTGCTTAGAAAACAGCTTCAACAAAGTCAAGCAGAGAACCGTGCCCTCAAGCATCAGCATCTCCAGCTTCTGAGGACCCAGTCCCATGCGCCTGTCTCCTCACAGCTCACCAATGCTATCCACCAAGGCCAGAGGGTAAATCCCCTCGCCCGTAGCCAGTCGACGTTGGGCTACAGCACCGTTAGCGTACGTATTTGCTTTCCCCTCCATCGTCGCTCCTCCTCCCCGCCACCGCCCTCCATTCTTATGCGATCGCCCTCTTACACCGATAGCAGGACTATGCCTCCCAAAGCCCAAAGGGCGTTGCGCGCCTAAATCGGGTATACTCGCTTCAATCGCCTACCTCGATGAGTAGAACCGCCTCTGCCCGCTTCGAGTCGATGCCCTTCCGCCCAACTGGCCCTATCTCTCCGCTCGAAAGCCAGCCTTTGTACCGCTCTACGTCTGACCAGTCCCGCATGAATCACCGTTCGCCCTCTCACCAGAGCCTCGCCAACATTCAGGAGAATGATGTGCTTCCTGGCGTGGGTGTAAACCCCGCGGAATTCATCGCCAACTACCCGGAAGACGAGGGCACCTATCTCGCAACCACAAGGCCTCTAGCACCCAACGACATCCAGTTCTTTCAGAACGCCTCGGCATGCCCCTCCATGTACTCTGGTGTGACGGCGCATGATACGCCAAGCCCCATGTCTAGACAGAACAGCGCCTTTGAAAACGGACAGAATTGGGGTGTTGATATGGTCAACACAGTCTCGTCGCAGTCCATGTTCGCCACCGGCTCCGAGCACATGCTCTTTCCCAATATGAGCTTCAATCAATCGTCAGATGGAAGCCCAAAGCATCATCCAGCAGCCAACCAAGATCTTCTGGGTCTTGGTGCGAGCCTGCAGGATGCACAGCCGTTGCCATCGTATGCACCCACGAGCTTTGACACTAGCTTGACTAGCGATCTGTCTGCTGACCTGTCCGCTGAGATGGAGCGCATCGGCTCCAACGAGAGCGCCTCCAGCACCCGCTCCAACGCATCCAACTTGGAGCGGCGTGCCAAGGAGCGTCATAGACAAGTGCTTGAGAACAGCAAGAGAGGCATCGTCCCCAAACCACAGGAGCAGGACGCCTCGCCCCCTGCTATAAAGAAGAAGAACAAGGTTGCGCCTAACAAGCTCGGCTATCAGCGGCGCAAGCAACCCCGTGTCTTCTGTACTCAGTGTACTGAGCACCCTGGTGGATTCAGAGGTGACCACGAGCTGCAGCGTCACATCAATGCCAAGCACTCTATCGAAGTGATCAAATTCGTATGCCGCGACCCAGCCTCTGTTGGCCTGAAGTCCAAAGTGCAGCCCAAAGCTCCACTCAAAGGCTGCAAGAGCTGTGAAAACGGCAAGCAATACGGAGCCTATTATAATGCCGCAGCGCATCTCCGCAGAGCTCACTTTGTTCCCAAGCTGTCTCGTGGGAAAACCAAGAGCGCCGATGAGAAACGAGGAGGCAAGGCCGGCGGAAACTGGCCCCCAATGGACGACCTGAAGCTCTGGTATGAAAAGATCACGGTCATCAGCGGGGGCGCAACCGCATCTCCTTCCGACGAGGCCGAAAGCCCCGAGGATGAGATTGACGATATGGACCTCGAAATAGAGGATTCTGAGCCTGAGCCCATGTCTAGTCTCCAGAACCAGCCGAGCGGTCTCGATGGTGTTGCTGCTGCCATGAGCGGTGTCACTACTGAGTGGACTGGCCTTGTTCAACCTGAGATCTCTCTGCCCGAGTCTCAGGGCTATATGTCTTTTCCTGGACAAATCAGCTTGGAAAACTCACCAGCCAACCTGTCTTTCAGTGAGGACAACTCTCCCCCAATCTGGGAAAGCACGGCTTCCAGCTCGTTCGCTTCACCGGCCCCCGCCTTTCTGGGTCAGGAGTCACCTGCCGTAGCCTTCCCGGCCTTCTAACTCTCCAAGAGAGAAGGATGTGCCTGAATTTGATGGTGATGGCGACCTGGACTCTTTGAAGCTTCGATGTCCCAATTTGTGCGCAATATTATACTCTGCTATCGGTTGTTCTTATGTTGAACAACCGTACGGGTGATAACCGGCTTACTCCTGACGTGTGAGAAAAAAAAGTTACAAAAATTCAGCGGCAAGAAAAAAATCTATTTCGTCAAAACATCATTTTTCTCTATTTATTTCAACCACATCAAGCAACTTTCGTCAAGCAAGACTAGTTCTTGAGGTACGGGCATCTCAGCCCTAGCCTGCCATGCTCATCCGCTCGAGGCTGGAAAATGCACTCATTCGGATGGCTGTCGACGACGATTCTCCTTCTTATTCCTCAACGTTTCGTTTTGCAATTTTTTCTCGTATCTTCCTTGCGACCTCGCGTTTCACTTCAATCGGCTTGTTTATTTCTCATTGTTTATTTCAATGGTCTTTCATCATCATCATTTCGACAACACATTTCTTTTTTGGTCCGGGGGCGCATACGTTTTTGCGGTCTCCTCAACCTGCTGCGCACAGTTGAAGGGAACGCTGTACAAAACCAACCCACGTTATATTCAACCTGCTTTCGGACTTGGGAAGGCCAACTCATTGCTTTCTCAAGCCGTAATTTCGCGGGTACGCATTTTTAATTATTCTTCCTCTCTCATTTTAATATGGGATCACCCAGCCTATTTCAACCAGAGAGGGGAAGGGAAGACAGGGAAATGACTTTATCTACAATAGAGAGGAACGAGTTATGACATGAGATCACCCCGGGAAAAACGGGCGATCGCTAATGATTATTGGATGTTCGGGGGCATATAGCAGGGTGTTTGGGGCGTCGCAACAGCATCATTTGAATCCTTTTGGGTCATGCGAGCATGGCCCCGAGGGCTGGCTGCAGAGATGTTGCCGTTGTTTTTTTTATTATTTGATTGGGCTGCTTTATTCTCTTATTACTTGGATTGTTAATTATTCTGCGGGCAAGGCGTATCTGCCCTGGGGCTACGGGTAATAGGCGTTTCATGGCTGGAGCGAAATACCTGCTCTATGTTGGGTTGGTGGCGTCATTTATGGGTATCTACGCGATAGATAATGTTTCAATCTTGGTGAGGTGGGAAATATAAGCACAACAACTGCATGGCGCAGGGTGCTGATCTGATCTGATCTGATTCAATATCGATATCCCAGTTCAGTCTGTGATTGTGACATGTGTCTGGAGTCATACCTAGCTAAGCAGGATATAGCCATCAATTCAATTCGGTGTCAAACTTGGGTATTTAGTTGGGTGATGTTGATGATAAACCCCAGATCGGCCACTGTTTCTTTTCCCGGGCAGGATTCGCCAGCCTTCATCCTTCGAGATGAGGGCAGACATGGGATTCGTGGCTGGCACTCGCTGGACCCCAATAGTAGTAACTTCAACCGCACAAACGGCCCAACATTGGTTACTTTTTCGAAGGAACAGAGAGTCTCCCTGGCAATGCCAGAGCGGCTGTGTAGTGCAGCGGTCGATCCTACTGCACACTAGATGGAACATGCTGCCCTATTGGGCTGTCTTAGATGCATCGCTGACCAGTTCTGCCGGGAGGTTCGTGCCGGAGGGTTCCCTGAACAGCGCCGCTTTTAGACCCTCTGCCTGAGCTGCTTGAGTATATTAAATTTTGAGTCTATGGAGTATTATGCTTAGTTAATCTCTGAATTAAACCCTTTCTTGATATGCAAACATACGCCTTGGAATTATTTTTGCTCCTTACCTACGGCGCTATTGCTACTTGGAGGTTCGCAACCACGTTCCTTGAATTAGGATCCTACTTATTCATGTCTTCCCCGAAGGGAGTAGGATAGGTCTTCAAGTTTACTTCAAGTGTGTTTCTCGCTCCTGCAATATACCTAACTCGCTGGATAGAATATTTGCCAACAGGAGCAGGGCGCCTCCCGATCGAAACGACTGTCCCACAGCATCAGACCGCCGCCGTCTGCCCTGCAGAAGAGTCATGTTGGTCGACTCAAGTGACTTCCCCCCTTCCCTTGGCACATTTCGTCGCCCTATTAGACCCGGGTCACCATACCTTACATGCATCACGCCCTTCCCAACCCCATAGTGCCCACATGACATGAGAGATCCATGTGAAACCTGAAGAGTTGCTGTCTCCTCCGCCGTGGCCCGACATGCCGCTGTTGTCATGTTGGAAGGTTACCTGCATTTCCCTGAATCAAACTTGCTAATGTGTTCAAGTTCGAGGCCAAGTCCAATTCCTTGGCCTTGTCTAATTGGTGCGGGCTTGCTACAATGAGACACGGTAAAGGGTAATGGTTCACGAGAGCGGTTCGTTAACGCAGGGCAACTTACTCCCTGTTCCACCTAGCCCGCTCTCTTTAGAAAGCGCTCAAGAATAGGCCTCAGCAGATCATATACACTTCTCCGACCCGACGCGTGAGACGGAATAGTGCTGTGTTGTGGGTTTTTGACCGGAACATCTTGAGTTTGTTACGTACGTAGTAGATATCCAAGACATTGCCCATCTACAAGATCACGATCCGTTTGCATGCCAAGCAGAGTCTAGAAGGCTAAGACGGATGAGAAATTTCCCGGTCGTGTAAACAGCTTAATACACCAGCGGTGTAATGCGTGTGCACCTCCGGAGACAAGAATACAGTTATAAAAGGGCTGGCCCAGTCCAAGTGAGGTCCAAACTCCAACAAAATCCTCTGTAAGAATACGATCTCTTCACTTCGACTTTTCTCCCGCCTCGTATCCTACACCACAATGAAGATCGCCGTCATTCTCGCCGTGGCCATTGCTACTGTTGAAGCAGCATGGCAATGCCGGTGCGAAAGCCGCGATAGTGTGAAGGCAGGCATAAATCAAATCTGCCGCCAGCTCAAGTACGTCTCTTTTTTCACTACTGTTAGTGGGAAAACCCTTCATAACAGAATGCTAATGCGAATGTGGAATCAGCTCGAACTGGACCTCTAACGAGTGTTTCGCGGGAATCTACGGGAGCTGCAAACTCTGCACATATAATCCCGCCGGAGACTATGACCGGGCCAGCAAGGAGCGGCTCGACTCTTGGTGTATGTGAGCCCGAAGCCCTCGTTAATTATGCTCAGGACTGACAGGGGAAAATAGGCCGCTCGCAATCTTATGTTTCCAACAATCTTGGAAGCGCCGACTTTTCGATTCGGTGCTACAAGAAGTAAGGGTCTGGCCGACACTCCTCAAGTTGGGCTTTTAGGTGCTACCTCTGGGGACATCATGGCTGGTAGGATATAAGTGAAGATTGAGCTCGTATATCCAGATCATGGACGCAATGGTGCTACTGCATTGTGTGTTGAATTAGGTATAAAGGAGGTGCAAGTCAGCATCTCCAAGCATCAGCTGAGAGAATCGACGGTTTGAACAGCCAGGAATTGCCAGATATAGCAGGCTCAGGTAGGAGTGTGTTCAGCCTATAGGGCATATCTAGTAGATAGTCTATTGAGACTGTTCCATTTGCATACCCTACCTACTGACATGTTATCGCGGCGCGACTGAGCGGGCCGCTGAGCAAGAGCGGCGAGGACGCTAGAATCAAAATAGAAGGCCACACTGGACGGGGCATGCTGCCATATTCGGTCGTCTCAGATGCATCGCTGACCGGTTGGCCGTTGGCTGACGCTGTGGAGAAGAGGCGGTTCAGCCGTCCACTAATCAACAATGATCGGTTTGCCAGATGATCTCAGCCCTGGAGGAACGATGCGGACTGGCCGCCTAAAGATAGAAATAAGGCCTAGCCCAGCCTCGTCCCCGGTAGCGGCGAGCTTAATTGCCCCGTGGCTCGCATCTTTCTTACCCCGTTGAAATGGAGGGGTCTTACTGTGTATAAAGACCTCGATGGCTGTCTCTCCTCTCTCCCTGCATGTGACATTGTGAGTGAGACGTAGAACTTCTCTCTCTCGATAGTTCTGCCCTCAATTGCGCACAAGAAGGAAGCCGCCATGGCCAGCAACCCAAAAATCATCGTGCGACAGGCCACCATCCTGGTCGACGGCAAGAGCAGCAAGGAAACCCACAGCCGCCGCATCGCCGCCAAACACCACCACAACGGAAATGGACCGTCCCTGAACCAGCTCCCGGAGGCGTGGGACACCTTCATAGCGGACATGACGGGGATGCACTCCGTCGCGTCCCTGCGCAGCTCCCTCCTCGCCCACGGCCGCGGCCACGGCGCCGTCTGCCTCGCCGTCGCCATCACCCTCAACCACATGCGCCGCCTGCTCCTCCCCTCGGCCACCCAGTTCTTCTGGCCCCACGCCCTCGCCGACATGAAGCTCGCGCGCTCCTCGCCGCACGGACTCCTCGAGCAGTCCGTCGCCTCCTTCGACTGGCTGCCCCTCGCCGCCTGGGCCGTCACGGCCTACCTCCTCGCCATGCTCCCGTCGCTGCTGGGCCAGCTCGTCACCGCCCACTGCGGGCGCGGGAGCAGCAGGGGAACGGCGGCTGCTTGTATTGTCGCCTACGTCGCTGCCAGCCTCGCGTGGGCCGAGCACGCCTACGTCCAGTCGTGCTGGACGCTGGCGCAGGTCTACGCCTGCTGGAGGCTCGTCTCCCGCGGGGGTGATGCCGAGCGGGCTTTCCTGCAGAGGCTGTTGGAGGAGCAGTCCGCGCGGGCGACGGCCGTGCTGGGGCTCGTTGCGCTGGGCTTGCACTTTCGCGTGCTGCCCGTGGCGCAGCAGGCGGTGCGCGGGCACTGGCCCGGGGTGTTGGTGTATCTGGGGATGGGGGCGGGCACGGCCTACATGGTAAGATACTCGAACAAGTTCTTTATCTTGCTAGAGTTGGCGGATATGTGGATTACGCTTGCGTGGTTTGGCGGTGCCTTCGTGCTGCATGGGATGGAGGTTTTACGGAGACGGGTGGAGGATGAGGATAAGGCTGGGGCTGAGGTGAAGAAGAGGCCGTCACATGTATCAAAGATTAGATGATTTGCAGTTGGTCTGGAAACTCATAAACTCAATTAACTTGTTCGTTCTTCATTCTTGCATCATCTTGAATTGCCTAAGTAAACCAGGTAAAGACAGAAACCCCTTGGCCATTTCTGGCCCACATCCGAATTACACAAAACTCTCATTCCCCGTTAAGTGTCTGTTTAAGCTGCTGCCCCGACCACCTCAGGACCAACAGGCAGTTGGCTTCCTGCAATGTTGCACTGCCTGAAGAGCCGGACCTCGTCCTCTGCAAAGGCGCCGACGACCGAGTGGATCAGACCTCGGTTGTGGAAGATTACAAGGTCGCCTTCCTTCCAATCGTGGGCGTATACCCTCTGGGGAGCAATGCCAGGTCGCTGCAGACGGTAGACGGTCTCGCGAACCTTGGCCAGGTCATCAATGACTGTGCCATCGGCTAGATGAAGCCGCCTGACAGCCGACGGGTGGATCTGGAGGTGCAGCTTCCCCGTCACGGGGTTGCGCCAGCACATGGGGAGGACCTGGATGGCCTCGGAGTTGATGGGAGGGAGGTCAGACTCTGAGAGCTCTTTGCCCTGCGAGACGAGGCCGAGCCCGGTGGAGCGGGACTTGGCTGGCGACATCCAGATGTAGGGATGGGCAGCGTATTCAACCTTGGTGGTGCGGGCAAACTCCTTGTCCTCGTCGGAGAGGATGTCGTACATGGTTTCACCGTTGGCGAAGGCAGTTGTTCCAAGGGGAACGGTCATCTCGTCGCCCGTGCCGTCGTCGTATCGCAGTGTCTGCGTGCGGCCCGAGGGGACGCGGACAGCAAGCAGCGTGGTTGCCACGGGGGGTGCGAGATCATAGAGGGCGGCATCAATGTGCCAGCGATAGAACCTGGTAAAGTCGAGGTCCTCTGCGTCTGGAATGATGGTGTCATGGAATGTCCGGTGGTGAGGGTGCCGGAGCTGGATGTTCTCCAGACCCTCGTAGGAAGGCACGAAGCCGTTTCCAATGACCTGAACCTGAGGCTGATGCGGAACCGTCTTCAGATCAGGGTGCAGGATGGAGCGCTTGGCATCCAGAGTCTTGCCGTGGCCATAGTTGGCAGTGGCCTCTGGGTCAAATCGCTGAGTGAGGCCGTACTGGGCCTTGGGGGAGACGTGCGACTGGTCCCTGATGACGAGAACCTGATGTCTGAACAGAGCATCACGAAGGACATCAAAGTCGGCATCTGCAGGGCAGAAAGTGGTTAGCCTCAGTGTGTTCTGGGCCACAGTGAAGATGGCTGTTCCTTACCAGGAGGTTACCGATTTTACGGGTATTCTCCCATTTGAGATTGAGTTCTTTGCCTTCATTCGAAGCATTCCAGCGGATTCCCCGAGTGAAGTATTATATCATATTGCTCTCAAAGAATGAGGCAGCGACTGCAAAGCAATCATCATTCCTTACCAGTAAGATTCTCGATGTCAACACCAGTGACGGTGGCGCCAAAGTTGATGGCAGAGCCCTGTGGCGCAGCAATGGGCTCGACCTTTGCTTGCGAAGTTGCCATGGTTTGATGTGATGAATGTGATAATTTGAGATTATAACAATCTGATTATATGGTGGAGAGTAATCTGGATTCAAGTGGCAAAGCTGGGCCTGTCCGTTGTGGTGTTGGAGAAGGGAATCTTAGATTTGGTCTGACCAGGCTGCATTTATACCCCAAATCTGAGATACGGGCGGGGTCCGATTCCCGAGGGGCAAGATCTCTTATCTCTACCGCGCAAGTCCCCGTTAGTCAACGTCGACAGAGGCACTGATAACGGTGGAACTGCGCCCGTTTGATTAATAAAGCGCTATTCCCATGATAGGCCTGGGTTTATCAGCCGGCCGCGGAAGCTGACGATGGCCACATGCCTCTGGAGCAGTGCGGCCGCAGCCGCCCGTAGGCACAGAGCGGGAGGCATGAAACAGCCTCCCACACACCGAACTTGCCCAATGATACGGTTCCTATGGTCTACTTGGCTAATTTTTTTATTCGAGGGTATCTAATCATATCAATTCGTGAATCTCGACGTGCAAGTCCGAGAGTGAAGCCCTCCCCTCTGCCTTGGAGTATTGGCAAACAGGGTATCCATCCACATCGTCCTCGCACCTCAACTCTTCTTAACCTTTTCCGTCCATTCCTTAGCGCTCTTGACGCCCTCATGGGCTCTGCGAAACAAGCTCCTCTCCCACTCCTCCAGCCCGCGCAGAAACTCCTCCCCCTGACCCCCCAAGCTCCCATCGTCCGCCTTTCTCGCGTGCAGGCCCACCTCGCCGGCCCGGACCACAAACGTCTTCCTGAGCGTGTTGCCGAGCTCGCGTTCGTCGAAGAGGTCCAGCATCCGCACCCCCACGCCGTACAGGTGCACGTTCTGCTCTCTGAGCGTGACCGAGCGTGGATCGGCCCGCAGCGCGGCGATGACCTGCTCGGAGAGGCAGGGCGGCATGTTGAGTATCAGCGGCGCCTTGGAGTCGCCCGTCGACGCCAGGGCGAGCATCTCGGCTAGCCAGAGGGGCAGGGACAGGGCGGTTCCTGGTTTCAGGCCCGTTGTCGAGTTGTCGAGGTGGCCTAGGTACGGGACGTCGAGTTCGAACGTGCATGGCACTTTCTGCGAGTGATGGTTGTCAGTGTCTAGTATTTTGCATTGGATAGGCAATGCAAAATGCCTCAAGGAACTGAGAACAAACAAACCTCGCCGTCTGTGAGAATGGCATCAACATCGTAGTAAGACATGTTGCACGCCTTGGTCCGACTGTGCAGCTTGGCCGCCGTCAATCGATTGATCGCTTGCCTCTGCTAGATGAGCCTGTCCAGCGCGTCTGGTTAAAGTGCCCCTCCAAGCCAAACAAGAGCGCGTTGGGAACTGATAAGCGATAAGGCCCTCCCGTAATTCCGCACCCCTCCAATTACAGGGCGGTTGATGCTAATGTGACGAACCAACTCCACTGAACGCTACCGTTACAAGGCCGCTGGGGCAATCGCGCAGTGACGACACATTGATCTCAGATCCGAAGCTCCTTCCCGTAGATTACCTAAGCCCGAGCTCGCCCTCGGCTATCCGCTCTAGAGCTTTGCGTGAGTTGACATCATCTCCGTCCAGGTTGTTGTAATTTATCTCCGCCCTCGCCGTCTCGACATCTCCAAGCTGTTGGTAAGTCCATTCTTGTCTGCTCGTAGTCGCCAATCTATGCTCCCCATCTTCCTCAATATCCAGCCTCCCAATTGACTCTTGGAATTCTTT